TATTCACGTCAACAAATAAATGATTAAAACACACTGTTTTGCAATGAAGGTCTACAGTAGCCTCAACAGCACCCTCTAGGTTAGCACGATGCTTCCATCCTCCTCTGGGTAAATTGACTTCAATACAAACATAGGAGGCTCATGGTTCTCACCCCCATCCATTGACTTACACAGTAATTATGACAATTTCCTGAGGACATCCTCCAACCTATCAGAGCTCTTGCAGCATGAACTGAGATGTTGTCCACCCAATCAAAGGATCAGATAATTAATCTAGTACTGAAATACAGTGGGGGAAAAAAGTATTTAGTCAGCCACCAATTGTGCAAGTTCTCCCACTTAAAAAGATGAGAGAGGCCTGTAATTTTCATCATAGGTACACGTCAACTATGACAGACAAATTGAGGAAAAAAAATCCAGAAAATCACATTGTAGGATTTTTAATGAATTTATTTGCAAATTATGGTGGAAAATAAGTATTTGGTCACCTACAAACAAGCAAGATTTCTGGCTCTCACAGACCTGTAACTTCTTCTTTAAGAGGCTCCTCTGTCCTCTACTCGTTACCTGTATTAATGGCACCTGTTTGAACTTGTTATCAGTATAAAAGACACCTGTCCACAACCTCAAACAGTCACACTCCAAACTCCACTATGGCCAAGACCAAAGAGCTGTCAAAGGACACCATAAACAAAATTGTAGACCTGCACCAGGCTGGGAAGACTGAATCTGCAATAGGTAAGCAGCTTGGTTTGAAGAAATCAACTGTGGGAGCAATTATTAGGAAATGGAAGACATACAAGACCACTGATAATCTCCCTCGATCTGGGGCTCCACGGAAGATCTCACCCCGTGGGGTCAAAATGATCACAAGAACGGTGAGCAAAAATCCCAGAACCACACGGGGGGACCTAGTGAATGACCTGCAGAGAGCTGGGACCAAAGTAACAAAGCCTACCATCAGTAACACACTACGCCGCCAGGGACTCAAATCCTGCAGTGCCAGACGTGTCCCCCTGCTTAAGCCAGTACATGTCCAGGCCCGTCTGAAGTTTGCTAGAGTGCATTTGAATGATCCAGAAGAGGATTGGGAGAATGTCATATGGTCAGATTGTCACGATCGTCGTAGGAGTGAGTAGACCAAGGCGCAGCGTGTGAAACAAACATGACTTTAATTAGTTAAAGTTACAAACAAAACACGACTCGTGAAGTCCACGGTAACACTGACCGAACACGGAACAAAAACCCACAACACCCAAGGGAAAACATACAGATTAAATATGGCTCCCAATCAGAGACAACCAGCCGACAGCTGACACTCGTTGCCTCTGATTGGGAGTCACACAGGCAAACATAAAAACAGACAACCTAGAACACCCAAACAAAGAAACAGAACACATCGAATGAACACACCCTGGCTCAACATATAGAGTCCCAGAGCCAGGGTGTGACAGTACCCCCCCCTAAAGGCGCGGACTGCGACCGCGCCTCAATAAGAGCTAAACAGGGGAGGGCTGGGTGGGCATACCTCCTCGGCGGCGGTTCTGGCTCCGGCCTTGCCCACCACCCTCCAATAATCCCCCCATAGCGCCCCTGGTCCGGTCTGGCCCCGCTGGCTGGAGCTGGACTGGACGTAGCAGGGGCGGTAGGCTTCAGCTCCTTAGTGGAGCAGTTGAGCGGTACCTGAATGGGCACCGATGACCCAGGCACGGGTTGTGCCGGACTGACGACTCGCACCCTAGGCTTGGTGCGTGGAGCAGCGACGGGCCTTACCAGGCTGACGACTCGTACCCCGGGCTTGGTGCGAGTAGCAGGAACGGGCTGAACCAGGCTGACGACTCGCACCCCTGGCTTGGTGCGAGTGGCAGGAACGGGCTGGACCAGGCTGACGACGCACACCGTAGGCTTGGTACGTGGAGCAGGAACAGGCCGGGCTGGGCTGTCGACGCATACCGTAGGCTTGGTGCGTGGAGCAGGGACAGGCCGGACAGGGCTGGCGACGCACACTGTAGGCTTGGTGCGTGGAGCAGGAACAGGCCGGGCTGGGCTGTCGACGCACACCGTAGGCTTGGTGCGTGGAGCAGGGACAGGCCGGACAGGGCTGGCGACGCACACCGTAGGCTTGGTGCGTGGAGCAGGAACAGGCCGGGCTGGGCTGGCGACGCACACCGTAGGCTTGGTGCGTGGAGCAGGGACAGGCCGGGCTGGGCTGTCGACGCACACCGTAGGCTTGGTGCGTGGAGCAGGGACAGGCCGGGCTGGGCTGGCGACGCACACCGTAGGTTTGGTGCGTGGAGCAGGAACAGGCCGGGCTGTACTGGGAACACACACCACTGGCCTTAAACGGGGATCAGGAACGGGCCGGACCGGACTGGCAATACACCTCAGTACCTCTCGCCGTGCCTCTACAACTTCCTTCCCTCCTCTCGCCAATGGCTCCCGTAACCCGGTGGCCTTCTCTCCTCGTCTCCCATTTCGCCCTGTGGCAGCCTCCTGCTGCCCAGTCGCCCATGCCGTGTGCCCCCCCCTAAAAAATTCTTGGGGGTGCCTCTCGTCCTTCCGACGATGGCACTGCTGACGCCGCTGCTCCTCTCCTGCCTGGGTCTCCCCCTTCATAGCCCTCCGGTACCGGACGGCCTCCTCCTCGGTAATCTGCCCCCAACCGAGGAGGACATCCACAAGAGTCACCTCCTGCGTGTGTTCCTGGACACGCTGCTTGGTCCTGGTATGGTGGGTTTTTCTGTCACGATCGTCGTAGGAGTGAGTAGACCAAGGCGCAGCGTGTGAAACAAACATGACTTTAATTAGTTAAAGTTACAAACAAAACACGACTCGTGAAGTCCACGGTAACACTGACCGAACACGGAACAAAAACCCACAACACCCAAGGGAAAACATACAGATTAAATATGGCTCCCAATCAGAGACAACCAGCCGACAGCTGACACTCGTTGCCTCTGATTGGGAGTCACACAGGCAAACATAGAAACAGACAACCTAGAACACCCAAACAAAGAAACAGAACACATCGAATGAACACACCCTGGCTCAACATATAGAGTCCCAGAGCCAGGGTGTGACACAGATGAAACCAAAATATAACTTTTTGGTAAAAACTCAACTCGTCGTGTTTGGAGCACAAAGAATGCTGAGTTGCATCCAAAGAACACCATACCTACTGTGAAGCATGGGGGTGGAAACATCATGCTTTGGGGCTGTTTTTCTGCAAAGGGACCAGGACGACTGATCCGTGTAAAGGAAAGAATGAATGGGGCCATGTATCGTGAGATTTTGAGTGAAAACCTCCTTCAGCAAGGGCATTGAAGATGAAACGTGGCTGGGTCTTTCAGCATGACAATGATCCCAAACATACCGCCCGGGCAACGAAGGAGTGGCTTCGTAAGAAGCATTTCAAGGTCCTGGAGTGGCCTAGCCAGTCTCCAGATCTCAACCCCATAGAAAATCTTTGGAGGGAGTTGAAAGTCCGTGTTGCCCAGCGACAGCCCCAAAACATCACTGCTCTAGAGGAGATCTGCATGGAGGAATGGGCCAAAATACCAGCAACAGTGTGTGAAAACCTTGTGAAGACTTACAGAAAACGTTTGACCTGTGTCATTGCCAACAAAGGGTATATAACAAAGTATTGAGAAACTTTTGTTATTGACCAAATACTTATTTTCCACCATAATTTGAAAATAAATTCATAAAAAGTCCTACAATGTGATTTTCTGGATTTTTTTTCCTCATTTTGTCTGTCATAGTTGACGTGTACCTATGATGAAAATTACAGGCCTCTCTCATCTTTTTAAGTGGGAGAACTTGCACAATTGGTGGCTGACTAAATACTTTTTTTCCCCACTGTACAATGTGGTGAGTAGTTGACTCAAAGCTTTGATAAAAAATAAAAATGGATCAAGAGAGAGAGAGCTAGCTATATATTTATACTTTTTTTTTTTACTTTCAATTATATTTACTTAGGTAGCAAATGCAGTTAGCTAGTTTAGCCTACTCATGTTAGCTAGCTGGCTGTGACTATCCAACATCAGAACTCTTCCAAGTTATGGTAAGCTTTTGGTTTTTCTAATTTATTGCCACCGGGCCCGCCAGTGTAACTGCTAATTGCTTATAGACTGTACTGCATGATTGTAGCGGGTTTACTAGCTAACATGTTTGTTCTATTAACTACAGTATGTTGACTATGACATTACTTTAGCTAATATGGTGACAACGATGTAGGCTGTGCGTAGCTGTCATGATATGAAGGTTTGGCTTGGAAAGGTTTTTTTGCCTGGTCACAGACAGCTGATGTGTTGTGCATTGAAGTCCACAAGCAAAGGGAAGAGGTGAGAGGAGGAAAATGCGTAGATGCGAGAAGGAATACAACGAGCTGTTTGTATCTTGTTATGAAAGTGAACTGTGTTTGCGTGTGATCAGGGATGTATTCATTCCGCCGAGTCTGTTGAAAAACATTTCTTAAACGGAAGAAAGCGGAATGAAACGGGTATAAACATACCTGAATTTTTCCAATAGAAACTCTCGTTTGCAACTGTTGAGCTACTGATTACACCCTCGATCAGCTAGATATAGGCAAGAGTTTGCAAGGCAGTATTGAATATGTCACAGTCTGTCCATGTCTTTCTGTCACCTCAAATCTTTCTCTCGACCTGTGTACACCTACGTTTTAAACTTTCATTCATAGACTAGGTTGTAGCAACCTCATGATGGTTATAATGTCATGTAGCTAGTAGGCAAAACCTATCAATGTTACATTGAACTGGGTGAATGGCATGTCATCCACTATGCTGTAATAGAAATAAGGCCATGTTCATAAAAAATAAAAATAAATCATCCTCCCTCATCTTAAACGGCACCGACCGCCACGTGATGTTAGTATCACCTCCTTGATGTCTCACACATGGTAGAAGGTACCAGACACCTAACAATCAAGCTACTATATAGGAAATGATATGTAAAATAGATTGACCATGCCTGAGAAAGGGTGATGCTGAAAGGTTTTATTCAAAGAGGCATGGAAGCATTGAGGGATAAGAATTCCAACAATTCTTTCAATATTCCATATAATAGGCGAACCATTAAAAATGTGTTGAGTGTTGAGACAAATTTTACCTGTACCTTCAACACTATCCTGTCTGTGTTCTTAGATAACAGTCGGTTGTGAGTTAGTGAGGGGATTGAACCGTTTGTTTGTGGATAAACCTTTAGTGGGCGCCTCAATGGTTGGTAGCTTAAGGCTAGTAACGTGCAGAAAACATGAGCGAAAATGCAGTTGTAGAATCAACCTGACAATAACTTTAACAATTGAAAATGGCAACCAAAGATAATGTAATTGCCATTAGATCACTTTTTATCATATTGTCTTCAAGTATTCAACCGGTCCTCAATCAACGCATAGGAGTTTGCGTGCGATAGTAGAAAAGAAAATCAGAGTATTTTGGCCAAATAACTGCTGGACTCCTCTATCATCTTAGGCTACTCCACTTGGTAGCACTCTCATACAGACAAAGGTGCAGCCACTGTCACACTTGATGTCGTCGAAGCCCTCAGCCCCTGTAGAGGACAATGTCCCTGTTAGTCTCAGTGGAAGACAAGACAAGAATAACGACAGCACTCAATGAGACAGATAGGAAAATTACAAATATCACATGATTTGTTACCGTGACGTTTGACAGGGTTTATACACTGCTTATTAGGCATGTAATTGTTCCCTTAATATTATTATGTATTTAACACAGGGTCCCTTCGGGCTAGGATTCAAACCAAACTGCATTGTAGCGTGCTTGACATTTTAAGGTAATTTCCAATTGAGCAGACATCTGCAGTGTTTACCTTGAATGTGATCTCCCCGAATGACGGGAATATTGCCTTTAAAAGGCACATTGTCGATACGGATTGGGATCTCGGCCTAAGTGTCACACATCCAAGAACAATTTTACTGACCTGAATAAGAGTTCAGTGCCACACAGTCTTCTTCTCCCCACTGCTGAGCTTTGGCACTTTCGGACCAGAACCAGTTGACGGATGACCCATCAGTCCACACATAATTCCCTTCCTGTCAGGGAGAACATTTCAAGGTTATCAACATCTTCTTGAAGGGCAGTAGTAACTTATCGAATGTCCAAATTAAAGAGATATGAAATAAGACCTGATTAAGTGCCACTTGAGTGTTAAGGATTTTTTTACCTTCTCAAGATCATTCAGTCCTACCCAGGCATAAGCAGAGGTACTCTGGGTCTGCTTCACCATGGAAAGGAGAAGCTGGTATTCTTCAACGCTGTGCACAGCAGCTAGGGTACCCTGATCTCTCTTACAGTAATCCTTTAGGAAGAAACATCCATGTTTTCATTGATTTCTTTTACAAGCCTTGTCTATGTAGACATTTGATCAGTAGTGGTACACTGTAATGGAAAACTGTTATTTGTATGGTAATTTTGGGTATTATCAACAATGAAATGTCTCAGCCTCTATCTTTTTCCACTAATTGTTCTTTTTATTTGTGTTTTTTTCCTCCCCAATTTCGTGATATCCAATTGTTAGTTACAGTCTTGTCCCGCTGGGCCAATTGTGCGCTGCCTCATGGGTCTCTCGGTCGCGGCCAGCTGCGACACAGCCCGGGATCAAACCCGGATCTGTAGCGATGCCTCTAGCACTGATCAGTGCCTTAGACCGCTGCGCCACTCGGGAGGCCCCACTAATTGGTATTTTGACCAATCACATCGGATCTATTCACATCAGATCTTTTTTAGCACTGATCTGATTGGTCAAAAGACAAATTAGTGAAGAAATATCAGAATCGGGCTGCCTGTGTAGACGCAGCCTGAGTAGAAACACAACACTTCGAATAACAGAAAAAGTGGCTATGGATGAAATAGATCATAATAACTTTTCAAATCATGAAAACAATTCAAAATATATGTTTTTGTAACATTAAATTTGACTATAAATGTGTTAAGATTTAAAAATATATGCTCATTTTGGGACATTTAACCATTTACTTGTGTTACTGTCACGCCCTGACATTGAGATCTCTAGTTGGGTTGGTCAGGGTGTGAAATCTAATTTATATATTTCTATGTTGGCCGGGTGTGGTTCCCAATCAGAGGCAGCTGTCGGTCGTTGTCTCTGATTGGGGATCATACTTAGGCAGCCATGTTGCCTACCTTAGTTGTGGGATTTTGTTTCTGTTTGGCTTGTTTGATGGTTAGCGTCTTGAACTTCACGGTCTGTTGGATTTTGCTATTTTGTCGGTGTTTATTAAAATAAACAACTATGTACGCATACCACGCTGCACCTTGGTCCGATCCTTTACACAACGGACGTGACAGTTACAAAAGGTTAATAAAATAAAAATGTGTTACTGCAATCATTACCAATTTGGGGTAAAAAATTACCACCGTTGGCTGCTTTTAGGGTTAAAATGCTTTCATGTGTAAACAATTTACCTAGCAGCCAACCTGCTTGCACCAATCCCTGGTAATTACAGTAAAATACTGTTAAATACTAACCAATCCCCCTCAATGAATTTAATTAATCCGTTCATTCATTCCGATTACGGTAAAAAAAAATCGCTGAATAGGTTCTGTATTTTGGATGTTTTCACTGTATTTCTAACGCTTTCAAACAATACGATTCATCACGATTAAAACATTATTGCACTAAAATTATAAAAAGTTAACATGAGTTAACTTATTTACTTTGACAGCCCTTGTATTTATATTGCAGTAGGTCAAGTTCACGGCAACCCCTTTACAGTGTAATAAAAAAAAAGGTAATTATAATTGGAAATGTAAGTTATTTAAAATTCTCTTTTACACCATCACTGTAACTGGAAGTGTTGATTAGATTCAAATTTGACACTTACCAGTGCTTGCTGCCATCCCATTTGTTTGCGTACGAATCGGTAGCAATGGGGTACTGTGCTGTCAGGTCCAGTATACCCACTTGGACAGGTATCTGGAGAGAAAACGATGTATTTTAAATGCCTAACTATCACTAATTGGTTAGAACAGTAAATAGAAGAAAACTCAAAATAGACTGGATTCAAATGGGATTGGTTGTCACTTACAATGATGATTGTGGGGGAGGGCTCCAGTTCCCAGAAGGGTGAGGAGGACACAGGCAAGAACAGACACAGTTATGACTCCCATGATGATGGATAGAGAATCGTGGTGGACCTTTGGCCTTCTTCTGCAGTTCTTCCTAGATACAGAATTATATCACAAAGTGTATTACTCAGGAAAAACCACAGCATTACAGATTAATGTAGGAGATAGGTAGATAGATGGATAGATATGCTGAATGTCAGAACAAAATACGTGCATGGTTAATAGTTATTTAAATTCTACAATGTTTTTGGCAACAACAAATACAACCATTTTGGCCAGGATTTAATCTGATCTCGCTTTGGTCGGCAATGCACGTTTTAAAGGCAATATTTCCGTGTTCGCAGAGACCACATTCACAGTAAACGCTGCTTATGTCGGCTCAAATCAGAAATTAGCTTTAAATGGTGCATTGTCCAAATCCGCGATTAAATTAATGGCCGGGATTCAATCCAGACTTCTTGTGGCATAGCCCTGTTGATATTATAAAATCATAAAGACCCTCACCAAATTCAGAAGAGAGAAACTGAAGCGTCTTCCTTGAAGTGTTTCTTCAACCAGAAAGTGCAGGTGTCTTTTCACTCAAAATGTCAGGCCTTATAAAGAGACATTTGGGGGAAGTACTACTAGAGATATCATCTGCAAGTCACATTACCATTGCAGCAAGTAGTGATTGTGATCCATAATGTACATGTCTTTTTTTTTTTTTTTTGCGGACGTAGGCTTCCATGTAGGCATATGCATTGCCATACAAATGCATATCCTGTTTATGATGGTTGTAAGAAGTACATACACACTAAGAAGTACATACACATTGTCCCCACATGAAAGTTAATGTTTAATATTACAGATGTATTAATTTTTTGACCTGAATGTCCACAAGCTGATTGTCCGGTTCATCCTTCCCAGAATGCTATTCAAAGGTACAGTAGACCACATCAGCAGATAATAACCGCTTGAATGATAATGGCAAAATGTAGATTTCCTCCTAAATAGACATACTCCAAAAGTAATTATATTTCATGAGAGGGCCATAAGCAATAACTAACCATGCTTATACTGCCAGAAATATTAAAATCTCACCTTTATTGTAAAAATAGTTCGAAATTGCTGAGGTGTACTCAATTTTCAGTATGTATTTCCTATTCTACAGAAGTCTATGAATAAGGCTTGAAATGACTGATATGCTTTCTAGATATAGAAACAATCAATTTATAAAAACGACTAACTAGAAGATGTCACTTTCCTTATAACTGTAAAATACATATTTGTATGTTTAGTGTTGAGAAAATGTTAATTTTTTCCAAAGGTCTCGATCAAAACTTCTTCCCCCACCCCTGTGAACCTCTGACAGAACTCCACTTTCATCTCATGTTGTCCGTCTGTGACAAACAGAAAGTATTTTTTGTATCAAAAATGGTGTCAGATTTCGCACTGGGAAATTGGATGGCGGAGAACTAGGGCTATCGCCGAGTGCGAGCCATTATGATGTACGTTGTCCACACGTCGATTTATAAGAGAACATGTCGGTCAGAACAGGTACCGGAACCACGCACCGCCCCACTTTCAGAGAGTTTACATTCAAGAGGTTAACTGCATACATTGAGACACTGGCCAATGGGACATGGATCGGTCTATAGATCTCCTGCCACAAGTTATCGCTGCGTCCTCCAATTCACTGTAAGGTCTGCACCTGTTGTATTCGGCGCTTGTGACAAATACAATTTGATTTTTGATTTGATTTGAATTCTGAGATACACCAGACCAGTCACAAAAAAAAGAACAAAAAAGATTATAACTATTCTGTTGTGGGGCGATTACATGTGATATTGAATGTTCAGAAAGTAGATAACTAAAAATGCGCAGGCGGGTTGGCATGTGCAGGCGGGTTGGCTACATATGCAGTTGTGATAGCACAAACACATATGTAGCTAACCGCGTAGCTTAGCAACCCATTTTTATTCGGTTCAAATAAGGTATTATTCTAAAGTGTAGCAACCCTGTGATGTTGACATAGAATGATACAGAATTATTTAGAAACCACAACCTATTGGTATTTAGCAAGTTGTAGTGACTATGGCCATCATCAACATATTGCTCAACTAGTGTTGTAAGATATCTCTTTGTAATAGTGGGTTAGAAGACTTCCTCTTTACATGGTGAAGTCTCATGCTAACATGTAAACCAGGTGGCTGTGTACATTTTAGTTATTTAGCAGACAATTTACAGGAGCAATTAGGATTAAGTGCCTTGCTCAACGGCACATCAATGCATTTTTCACCTAGTCAGCTCTGGGATTTGAATCAGCAACCTTTCACATCTTAAAGTTCTCAAACGAAATGCCAGTAAGCCTCCAAGTCAGAAGAGATAAGCATGTCGGTGACAACCACTGGAGTGATGTGCAAGGATATAGTTACTGGCAGCATTCATGTGGAATGTGGGTCTGTTGGGCTGCCAACCCACCAGAGGGGGTTTCATTGAGTTGTCAGACATGAGGTCTAGTCACCCTTACTAATGTAAAAAGGTCCTGAACAATTCTGATTCCCACTTAAAATAGCCTTTTGAGTGACTAAAACATCTGATAAAAATGCTTAATTTTAGAAAAAGTAATTTTGCTCATATCAAACTACCAGGAAGTCTGAAAAGCTAGACCAAATGGAATTGTCAGCAATGTTCATATATCATGACTATAAATGATCAAGAAGTTTGTAAGAATCTTCTGTTTGGCATGTGTCTTGATGTAATAACATGAAAACGGAATCTGAGTTTTGGGCAACCCCTCCCCCGCTTTTGTTTCATGCTGGCTAAAGGCCTAGCCAGCCAGTTGCTAGCTAACACCAGACAGATAAAAGCAAAAACCTTTAAGTACACTGAACAAAAATATAAAACGCAACAATTTCTAAGATTTTACTGAGTTACAGTTCATATGAGGGAATCAGTCAATTGAAATAAAGTAATCTATGGATTTCACATGACTGGGAATACAGATATGCATCTGTTGGTCACAGATACCTTTAAAAAAAGAAGTAGGGGCGTGGATCAGAAGACCAGTCAGTATCTGGTGTGACCACCATTTGCCTCATGCAGCGTGACATCTCCTTCGCATAGAGTTGGCCAGGCTGTTGATTGTGGCCTGTGGAATGTTGCCCCACTCCTCTTCAATGGCTGTGCGAAGTTGCTGGATATTGTTGCTGGAAACTGGAACACACTGTCGTATACGTTGATCCAGAGCATCCCAAACATGCTCAATGAGTGATATGTCTGGTGAGTATGCAGGCCATGGAAGAACTGGGACATTTTCAGCTTCCAGGAATTATGTACAGATCCTTGCGACATGGGGCCATGTATCATCATGCTGAAACATGAGGTGATGGCAGCAATTGAATAGCACGACAATGTGCCTCATGATCTCGTCACGGTATCTCTGTGCATTCAAATTGCCATGAATAAAATGCAATTGTGTTTGTTGTCCATAGTTTATGCCTGCAAATACCATAACCCCACCACCACCATCATTGGGGCACTGTTCACAACATTGACCTCAGTAAACCACTCGCCCACACGATGCCATACACGCTGTCTGCCAATCTGCCTGGTTCAGTTGAAACCGTGATTCATCCGTGAAGAGCACACTTCTCCAGCATGCCAGTGGCCATCGAAGGTGAGCATTTGCCCACTGAAGTCGGTTACGACGCCGAACTGCAGTCAATTCAAGACCCTGGTGAGGACGACGAGCACGAAGAGGAGCTTCCCTGAGATGATGTCTGACAGTTTGTGCAGAAATGCTTCGGTTGTGCAAAGCCAAAGTTTCATCAGCTGTCCGGGTGGCTGGTCTCAGACGATCCCGCAGGTGAAGAAGCCAGATGTGGAGATCCTGGGCTGGCTTTGTTACACATGGTGTGCGGTTGAGGCCGGTTAGACGTACTGCCAAATTCATGCCTTTGTAATGTGGTTTATCCACAAAAAAGATAGGTGGCGTAGTAGAGCTACATGATTTTTTTATACATGCGGGGAGGTCCTCAGTACTAATCTAAAATAAACAGATTCTTTACATCAAGGAGTGGAGCATGGGAATAACCAGTCAGATATCAGACAGAAATATAGGCTTTATTCACAATTACTGAAGCAACGTAATAGGATTGTTGTCGGACAGAAACTTCTATGGCTTTGTGTTCAATACTCTGTCAACAAAGGTTACAGCTCGTTATCATAGATCAACTTAATCACAGACAAGTATTCAATGTATTTGATGCAGGCAGTTTCGGTAAATAGAATGGTTTCTGCCTCGACAACCATAAGCAACAGATACCTAGGGAGGCGTGCCATGGGAGAAGAGGAACGAGGACCAGAGGCTACAGGCTCATTTGCCTTGAACACACTCACGATTCATTCTCATCATCAATTTGGTCTAGGCCACAGTTGCTGCACCCGTCCTCCCAAGGCATGCCAGCCCTGCGCATAGTAAGGTGATCCCCTGGATGAGCGACAACAAAGCTTTTAAACCAAAAGCCAACCCCTTAATTGGCAATTACAGACACCTGGTGCTGACAGAGGCTGCGTTCAACACAAACAGTTTCACCCTGTTACACCTTCTGCGACGTTGGTTACAAGGCTGTACTTATTTAAATTAGGTAAGAGAATAAGATGTTACCATTGGTGTATTAAAATTAGAGATTTTGTGATGTCACAAAAAAAAAACTTAACTTAACCTACCTCCTGAATCCAAATGTTTGTGATGGGGAAGGGGACCAGTAACTTTATAATACAACTTCATCAATGTAGAAGCAACAGTCATTTTTCATATTTTGGTCATTTTGGTTTCATACTTTGATTTCACCTGGTCAAGGTATTTGAGATCTGAGGGGGAAGGAAGCTTTCCTGAATGTTGGGATAAAAAGAAGGGAGATCGCATGTACACACACACACACACACACACACACAAACACAAACACATGCAAGTACAAGCACACATTCACAGTGTGTGTGTGTGTGTGTGTGTGTGTGTGTGTGTGTGTGTGTGTGTGTGTGTGTGTGTGTGTGTGTGTGTGTGTGTGTGTGTGTGTGTGTGTGTGTGTGTGTGTGTGTGTGTGTGTGTGTGTGCGCGTGTGTGCATATGTGTGATCCACCCAGCTCCAAGGCATACAGTTCCATTGATCCATCTCTTTTAATGAATTGTCTCCCAATCAATCCAGGATGCCTCTTGATACAGCTGAGCTAATCGTCCTGATGTGGAGAGAAATACCAACAGTACTTCTCTGTCTGTGTGTTTCATCTCCACACTTTTACAGATCTGTAATCAACAGATAGTGTTGGGGGAGAAAGAGACAGAGAGAGAGTATGAAATAAACAGAGAGAGACAGAGAGAGAGAGACAGGGAGAGAGAGACCGAGAGGGAGAGACAGAGAGAGAGTCAGAGAGACAGGGAGAGAGGACGGGAGAAAGAGAGAGAGCAGGGAGAGAGACAGGGAGAGAGAACAGGGAGAGAGACAGAGAGACAGACAGAGAGAGAGAGACGGAGAGAGAGAAGAGAGAGAGAGAGAGAGAGAGAGAGAGAGGGCGAGAGAGGAAGAGAGAGAGAGAGAGAGAGAGAGAGAGGAGAGAGGAGAGA